TCATGCTCAGCCTTCCTGATTCTTTGAGCTCTTCGCCACTGAGTTTTAGTCATAGGAGCCTTAAAATAGGGCTTTTTCGACTGAAAATGGCTTCCGGATGGATTCTGGAACCCAGTTTGAGTGAAAAACTTGGGTTGTGAGAAAACTTGTTGTGGCATGACCGTCGAATGTGACGGTCCGCCCTTTTCGACCATCTGCAGTTTTGGTCGAATTAGTGATGGGTGCAACACATTTCGAACCCATGTGTTGCTCGGAACATTTTGAGCAGGTACGAAGGTCCTGCTTTGAACAATCTGGGGATCACGTATGGTGATAGAAGCATTCTGAGTCTGGATCCCTTTGTTCTTGGTAATCACCTGGTTGGTGGTTACCTGATAGTGTTTCTTCATCTCTGATTGCTCGAAGGCTTTGGCCGCCGCTTTATCGAAAACGGCGCTACACCTCGGGCACAACATGACCTCACTGTCTGCTTCCTTCTTTCGAGTTAGAAAGTCCAGCAGCGAGTCACCAGCCTTTGGGAAGATTTCAGCTTCTTCCTTCTCGAAGGTTTCGAGGGTGTCATTCAAAGAGCCTTTCCCTTCTAGCTCTTCTACAGCTCGATCGAATGACCCCTGTTGTTCAGCAACATCGACCATCAGTATGTCGATAGGTTCCACGAAGTTAGCTTCTATTTGCATGGGATCAGAATCGATTTTCATCGGCATTTTGGTTTTTTGCTCGAATTTTAATCGTCCTTGCTTAATGGCGTCCTGAATAAGATCCCTGAAACGAACACAGTTATTAGTCCAATGTCCATAAACATGATGAAACTTACAATATTTTCGACCCTTTCTTTGTTCTAGAGTAGGGATTTTATGATCATCAGATAATATAATTTGCCCATCTTTCAATAAAATGTCAAAAATATGATCAGCTTTAGATACATCAAAGGCATAACTCTTATTAGGTCGAGTTTTGTCCTTAGTTTCGAGTGGTTTTAAAGATTGGCAAACATAAGGGGGTCCTGGTTTTAATTCAGCTACATTTACCTCATTTACCCCTAAATCGACATCTTCTTCGTCGAGATCATTCTCGCTTCCTATTTCTCCTTCAGCGAGACCTATATAAGCCACTTTGTCTTTTCGAGAAAATTTCTCTATTTTCTTAGGGACAAATTTTTCAACCTTAAGTTGCTCGATTTGCCTCACTCTCGTCGCTAACTGCGACATGTCTCTTAACTGCTGATTAATCAATTTCTTTCTAATCGAGTACTCCAATCCGCCTATAGCCATTTGGACTAGTTCATATTCTGGGATTTGAGTAAAACATCTCGACCTCATTTGTCGAAATCTACTTAGATAATCGTCAATGGATTCATTATGTATTCTTTTTATATTAACCAAATCCATTAAGCTAACTTTCGCTTCACCACGAAAGAATTGTTCATGAAACCTTCTTTCTAATTGATTCCAATTATGAATTGAATTCGGGGGTAAGGTGGTGAACCAGGTAAAGGCCCCCTTAGTCAAAGAACTAGGAAAGTACTTTAACTTTAAATCTTCATTTCGAGCTAAATCTCCACATTCTATGGCGTATCTAGCTATATGTTCGACTGTAGACTCACCGGAATCTTCGGCAAATTTAGTGAATTTTGGGACTTTCCAACCCCGAGGCAGTTCAGCCTGCAAAATTGCCTCAGAGAATGCTGAGACAAAGTAGGGTCTATTAGCATACCCTATGTCGAACCCATGTTGATTCAAGACTTGTTCGACTACATTGGCAATGTTTTGAGGATTCGAGTTGTTTGGATATTGAATTTGATGCCCCCTACATTATTTTGCCTAACTTGCTCAAGTATTTCATCAGCATTCTGATTTCGAGCAATAATAAAGGGTTGATTTCCCTGGAAATCACCCTCATTTTGTCTCAGAAGGTTTTGGTCGAGATTTCGACCAATTTGCTCAAACGGAGCATTTGGATTTCGAGCAAAAACTAGGGGTTGGTCTACCTGAAAATTTCCTTCATTTTGTCTCGGAAGATTTGGACCAAAATTTGGTCTATTTTGCTCGAAAATTTGACCATTTCGACCAAGATTTGTAGCATCTTGATTAGGTGTTTGGGCAACATTTTGCCCTTGCCTTATAGGGACTCGAGGTGCCCCAAAAACGTCAGCAATTCGACGCATTTGTTCAGCTAACATTTGATAGCTAGTATTAGTCGTTTCCACTATGGGATTCAACACAGTGGTCATTTGATGAGTCAGCATATTGACCATCTCGTGATTGCTTTCATCCATCTGTTGCCTCATGGAATGTAAGGCAACATTCGAAAACGAGCTAGTAGGAAGTGAATCCCCACTCGAAGCTCCAAACGCAACTTGCGCTTCAGGTACTCCACCAATCGTACCCATTCCCGGTGGAATAGTATGGAGTACACCCATTCCTGGTGGAATGGTGTGACTCTGGGGTGACACGGTTGTCACCACAGGGTTAGAGTAGGTTGGTACTCCAAAGATAGGAGGCATACACACGGGAGGTAAGCCAAATGGGTGATCACCCAGCCTTGGCCTTGGGCCAGGATTTATGCTGGGATTGGTTGGCGGCATAGTAGCCATAAATTGGCTAACTACGGGAGATGACGGCGTAGGTAACGCCGTCATTGGTATGGGTTGTGCGGCAGTAGTAGTACTGCCGCTTACATCTGGGTTAGTATCACTACCATCACTTCTGGAATTGCCATTCCCAGAACTAGAATCACTATTTCTTCCTCTATTAGCCATAATACAACGTCCGTTACGTAATATCATGCAACAAAGCAAACAATCATTCAAAACACACAATATTGTCCCACTGGGCGTGCCAATTTGTTTACGGTGAAAAATGACAGTTGTAAACAAATAATCCAAAGATCAATCTGGGGACTGGATTTAGGTCCTCTTTGGGTTCTTTTAAGTGTGTCGTTAACGTGATGCTCAGATTAACGGCGTAAAAGAGTATTAAGCAAGAATAGTGAATACTAAATGTGCACAATTAAATCAAACGTAGATGTCTTTACAGAAATGTAGCAAGTCGGAACTAAACAACGTACGAAGACATAAGTAACAAGAACTAAAATTAAAATGCAGAAAGGTAAATGTAGGAATGTAAAGGTGCTGGAATGTAAACGTACGACTCCTCACAACGGCGAACAACGGCCACCGTAGGTCTCCTTGTAGCTGGTGTCTGGCGCGGTGCAGGGTTTCAGCGTCTCAGAGTGTTTAGGTGCGGTGTCTGGGTGCAAAAAGTCGTCCCTTGTGAAATAATGCTTTGTAGTATTTATAGACATGAATATCACCACCGTTTTCCTCCTTTTGCGGGCACTTCTTAGTAACTGACTTCAACTGTTGATGCTCACTATCCACGATCATGCTGTTTGTTGTAACCGCTATCGCCCATGATCTCCTTTGCGTAGTGGTGAATGTTGATAACTACTGGTAACCGCTTTTGGATTTTTCAATACTCCTATCTTTCGAGTATTTCTGAGAGAAACCTAGAAAACTCTTTTAATGTTATGGCCTTGGAATAGTTTCTTCTTGACTTCTCTTTTCGAGCCATTCTGGAGTTTTGAGAGTCTGTCTGGGTCTTGTGGACTTAGAACATTTTCTTTGCTCATTTCTGTTTTTCGATCAATTTTGGAGGGACTCTTGAGCTCGACCAGATTTGTGGACTTAGAATATTTTCTGACCACTTCTTGTTTTTCGAGCAATTCTAGAGGAAATCTGGAACTCAGCCAAGTTTGTGGACTTAGAATATTTTCTTACCACTTCCTGCTTTTCGAGCAGTTTTGGGTGTCAGGTACTTGGAAACTCATCAAATATTCCTCGAAAAGCCATCAGTTTTTTGTGGACTTAGAATATTTTCCTGTTAGTCCTGTTTTTCGAGCAGCTTTTGGGTGTCAGGGACTTAAAAACTCCTAAAAACTCCTCGAAAAACCATCAGTTTTGTGGACTTGAAATATTTTCTTGCCAGTTCTATTTTTCGAGTAGTTTTTGGTGTCAGTGACTTAAAAACTCCTCAAAACTTCTCGAAAAAGCCTTTAGTTTTGTGGTCTTAGAATATTTTCTTGTCTTTCAAGTAGTTTAGAGAAAAATCAACAATGTGACAAAAATCTCTTAAAATAGCTCGAAATGTGTTCCTTTTAATTAAAACCAAAGGTCTTCCAATATTCTCTTCTGTTCAGGTTTATCTTTGGCTCCTTCTTGACCCTCAAAACTTGTTGAGATGTAGTTTCCTTCAAGATGATTTTTAACTTAGAAAATTTTCCTTATCCCAAACAACTTGTGTAATTAATATACATTTTGTTCATATTTAAATAGACAGTTATAAATAAATGTTTGTAATGTATCAAAACCATAAAAAAAATTATAAGCATTTCTCTTTGACAGCTTATTTCTCTCATGCTGCTTCTTTTTTCTATGCTTCTTACGCTTATAAATCATTTAATCACTCTCTTTAAATTTCATTCCAACATATATATATATATATTTTTATTTATATGAAATCTTTTAAACATTTTATTAAGATATTTTCACATTTCTAAGATTGATTCTCCAACTGAAATACAAGTTTAACGGGAAAATATTATTATTATAATTTATACTAAATTTGCCGATCGCGCAGCAGCGAAGGAACAATACATAAAGAAGAAAAGGTCCAGGAAACATTTGAAAAATGCAGAGAAAAGTATACACTCCAAAATTCAATGTATTATCAGCTTTTTTAATTTAAATTTCTAAAATTTAACATTATATGTAATATAAGATGTATCTAAAAATAAAAAATTATTTAAATATGATGGTATGCGAAACATCTTTCAACTGTCATAGGCTATAACACATAATTTAATTAACCCGATGAAAAGGAAGAAATTATATGACAACATAACGACAAAATACAACTTGCCGCAAGAATAATCCTGCATCCTCATGCCTCAAAATATATTTATATAGTGTTCGGGTCGCATGATGTATAAAGAAACCCGAAATGGGTAAGTGGTGGTGCACTTTGGTTTTGAATTTTCTCATTGTGCTAATAATATCATTGTTCTTGGGAGCCACAATCGAAGTTAAGCCAGTGGCTGTGAGGGGTTTTTCACTTCACACGAATTCTCGATGGATAGTGAACGAAGATGGGGAAAGGGTGAAACTGGCTTGTGTGAATTGGGTGTCCCATTTAGAAGCTATGGTGGCTGAAGGGCTAAGCAAGCAACCTATGGATGTGATTTCAAGTGCGATCAAGTCAATGGGCTTCAACTGTGTTAGGCTCACTTGGCCTATTCTTTTGGTCACCAATGACTCTCTTTCATCTCTCTCCGTTAGACACTCCTTACAGAGCCTTGGCCTCCTTGAAGCCATTGCTGGTGTCCAAACCAACAACCCCTCCATCATAGATCTTCCCCTCATCCAAGCTTTTCAGGTAAAGTTTTTGTTACCAATCCATTTTATTCATAATCAATTCGCCTTACCAATCCGTTGACTAATTTTAGTTACCTCATCGTTCTTATTTCTTTTTATTATCAATCTTATCATGATGTGATCAATGATGCTTATTCGATGGCGATGGACCATACTTATTACTAAATAATTGAATCCCTCCAACTAAGTTCCTAGATACTATTAAATTCGTCATACAAGTTTGTATTTTTTTTGTTCCGTTAGACATAATTGAATTAATGCTTTTTGTTTATTGAACTAATTAGATAATAAAAATTACTAGCGGTAAAAATATTTCTTATCTGTGAAGTTCTTTTTAATGAGAAATTTTGGATATGTGCATGACGAATTTCTATAACCATGAGTTGAGTGTAGAATAACATTTTGTGTTGTGGAGTACAGGCAGTGGTGAAAAGTCTTGGCGAGAACAATGTGATGGTGATTTTGGACAACCACGTGACGCAACCAGGGTGGTGCTGCGGTGGTACGGACGATAATGGGTTCTTCGGTGACAAATATTTCGACCCAAACCAGTGGATTTTGGGCCTCACCAAGATGGCCACTATTTTCAATGGAGTTACTAGTGTTGTGGGCATGAGCCTCAGGAATGAGCTTAGAGGGCCCAAGCAAAATGTCAACGATTGGTACATGTAACAACTACTGTTGACAAAAAAAATCATTTACAAAAACACTTTTTTTACTATAAACAAAATTTACCAAAAACAACAATTTTGAAACACTACAACTGCTTCTTTTTTCGCTCAGAAGAAATTTCTATCCCCATGTCATGGTAATCTTAAAAAATATTTTAATCAATGTTGTAGTTGCTGGTTGAATAACGTGCGTAACAAAATAAAACATTGTTTTAACATCTAATATACACATTCACTTTTTAATTTTCATTGTCTGCTGTGCTTTTTATTATTAATTTTATTTTCAGCTCCTTGTAGATAAATTGTTTACTTTTTCTTTGTTCCACCATAATCATTTTTTAAAGGGTATTCAATCATTCAATTTGATGACAAAATGTCAAAGACATGGGGAAGGATAAGTTTCTTACCAATTTAAATAGCTAATATTTTTTTAAAAAGAAATCAAGGTGAAGAACAAAACTAAACATGAATATTTTTGCAAAGAATTGAAATAATATTTTAAATCATATGAATCATGATTTTAACAATAAATCAGTTACTATTTGAAAAATAACAGTGAAAGGGGCAAAAAAAAATGAAAGTAGAGATGGATTTGTGAGGAGAGAAAAAGTAAAACAATGGCATAGTTGGAAAAAAAATATGAAAGAGGGTGTGAGAGAGAAATCATATTTGCATGATAAAATATTGTTCTAAATTGAAGGTACATGGTGAAAGGAGCAGAAGCAGTTCATGCAGCAAATCCAAATGTTCTTGTCATTCTATCTGGCCTAAATTTTGACACAGATTTGTCATTCATTAACAATCGACCCGTAAGCTTGACATTCAAGGAAAAACTAGTATTTGAAGTGCATAGGTATGGCTTCACTGATGGTCAAGCTTGGGTTAATGGGAACCCAAACCAAGTATGTGGACAAGTGGCTGGAAATATGAAGAAAACGTCTGGCTACCTAGTGGACCAAGGGTGGCCATTGTTTCTTAGTGAGTTTGGATTAGACTTGAGAGGTACCAATGTGAACGATAACAGATACCTTAATTGCATTTTGGCAGTGATAGCTGAGCTTGACTTGGATTGGGCCTTGTGGACACTTGTCGGTAGTTACTACTTTAGACAAGGGGTTACAGGAATGGAAGAGTTTTATGGACTTCTCAATTGGGATTGGAGCCAAGTTAGAAATACCACTTTCTTGAATAGAATCCGTGCCCTCCAACTTCCATTTCGAGGTATGACTATGAGCATAACCACTAATCGAGGCATTTTGTACTTTGCACTGTTAGTTGGTTGGAAAATATCATTACTAATTTAGCACTTGATAAATGCTGCCAATTAGCACATTTTATGTAATTGATCGATGTTTAAAATTTAAAACATTTATCTTGTTCTATCAAAAAAAAATATTTATCTTGTAAATTAACTACTTTAAAAACTATATTGACATTTTAAAAAAGTGATCACAAGTGTGTTGAGGAATAGTTTACTAGCATTCGTCTTTGACACTTTATCATGTTTTTGTTTGACACTGTGCAGGGCCAGGTATATCAGAAGGCAATCCATACAAATTGATATTCCATCCTTTGACGGGTCTCTGTGTCACAAGAAAGTCACAGATAGGACCACCGGTACTAATGTTGGGTCCATGCTCTTTTTCTAATGGTTGGAATTACACACCCAAGAAGACTCTATTAACAAACGATACAAACTTATGCTTACAAGCAGAGGAAAAAATGAAGCCTGCAATACTTAGCACGCTATGCTCTGGTTCCAACTCAGCATGGGAAATGATCTCAGATTCAAAAATGCACCTTTCAACTAAACTAAGCGATGGTTCCAATGTATGTTTAGATGTTGATGATAGCAACACCATTGTGACCAATGCTTGTAAATGTTTGAGCAAAGATAATACATGTGATCCTGCAAGCCAATGGTTTAAACTTACTGATAGTGGAAGGAGGACAATCTCGACAACCTCAACATTATCCATGTTAGGTTCACCGGACCTATTGTGGAAACCATTAAGCTCAATGTAAGTTGTTTTTAAGAATATCACGGTCGGTCAATATCTCTCACAATGCTGTAATCATAAAATGTATCCTTGCCTACATTTTGATTGCACGAAGTAATGCAATAAGCATATCTATGTCAGAAGTGTTTAAAAAATTCAATTTTACATGTACAATCTATATCTAATATTAAATTTAGTTTTAAGAATTTTGATCCGCGTTAAACTAGTTTTTTTATTAACTAGTGTAACTAGTAGTTTAAATTTATTTTCTAAAATTAAAATTTTTTTTATCTAAATTTATATGTATGAAGCTACTATTTTATATTTTTATTTATTAAATTTTTACGTTATATTAGTTTACAAAATTTTATTGTAACTATATTTTATTACTAATATTTTTTTATAATCTTAATTTTTATAATTAAAATTAAATATTTAAAATAATTCAAGATATTAAAATATAACAAATATTTTTAAATTAATTACTATTGTTGTTTTTATATTTATGTTTTTTTAATTTTAAAATATTATAACATAATAATTTTATTATTATTTATAATATTAATTTTTATTTTTATAGGTTTTGATTTAAACTTTCATTATAAACTCCATTTATTAAAAATAAGTTAAAAATGATAATAAATATTTTATACACTTCTATAAAATATAATATATATTAATAAATGTTGTTAAAATATTTTTAAAATACACTAATTTAATGTAATATTTTGTACAATAAATTACTTTTATTTTAAAAATAAAATTCATAAATATATTGAAAATCAGTTTTGCATTAAAAATTAAATTTAAAATTAGATTTAAAACTAATTCAACATAAACTACATTTAAAATTAGTTTCAACAAAAATCAAATTTTAAACTAATTTTAAACTAAATTTAAATTTTAAAACTATGTTTGAACTAATTAAAAAAATAAAATAAAATAGTTTAAAATTTAATTCATATAATTAATTTGTGTGATAGATAGATGATAAAAAGTAGAATATATCTAAATATTTATTACTTTAATAAAATATAAAAATAAAAATAATATTATTAATAAATTAAAATATACGTAAATATTTTTTTGACATATATTGTTAATTTCTTTTAAAGATATAATAGGTTAGAGTACCTCTTATATTCATATTTTATCTTTAATAAATGTTGATACTTAACAATATATATATATATATATATATATATATATATATAATGTTATATTCTTTATTATAAATTTAATAATAATATAAAAATATTTATAATATATTTTTATTACATGTAAAAATGGTTTAACATTGATTTTAAATAAAATTTAAATTTTATTTAAACTAATTTTTAGAAAAATTAAAATAGATTGATTTATAATTTAATTCATATAATTGGATTTTAAATGGATTCATGTTAGTTTTTTAGAAATTTATTCCATGAACCTCCATAATCCATGTAAATATTGGATTCAATACATGTTGTAATAAAAAAATGTACAAGATTTATCAAAGATTGCTAGGATTTTCATCTTAGAAGCCCTGAATGTTGCCCAACACCAAAATAAAAAATGTAGCACAGAAAATCTTATTTAGGAGGTGATGAAGACTGCTGGATAAAATGATTAGTGTGCATGAGATTTTCATGAATTCAATACCGCAATATTATATATAATTATTTTTATGTGTTTTTGTAACAGATTAAATATTCAGGGACGAATTAGGAAAAAAATTAGAAATTAATTGTCAAAAACCATTATAACTGTCATATGTTAGCGCAGGTTGTTAGAATGGGAGGAAATAGGTGGTTGATTACAATCTTATATAAGTCCCTTTTGTACACCTATTAAAGGATATGAATACAAGTATGAATTTTAGTTCCTCGTAAACTTGTCAAGTTGAGAGTGAGTGTGAGTTGGAGTTATTACGTTTTAAACTTCAACAATTGGTATCAGAGAGTCTGGAAACGATGGTGACAGTGAAAGAACTTGAAACGCGCATCGACTCGATGGAGAAAACAATGACAGATTCGCAAGATACAACACAGCGGAGTCTTGAAGCATTGCAGAAATCAATAGAAGGATTAATATCATCAGTGGCAGCGCTCCATTATGGCAAGAAACAGACACCGGAAAATGATACTCATAGTGAAACTCCAGAATCTTCTACATCTATTCTTGATAGAGCTCAGCTCCAGTTTCCTTCGTTTAATGGCAATAATTTCAGAGAATGGCAAGCTAAGGCCGAACAATTCTTTGAACTTGAAGGCACGCCTGAAGATCAAAGAGGGCGTCTATTGTTACTTTCAATGGATGGCAAAGCATTTTCCTGGCAAAGACATTACATTCAAGACCCAAATTTCAAAACAAAACCATGGCGACAGATTTTACAAGATGCTGGAAACAGATTCGACGATGGTACCTTTGATGATCCGGTGGCAGAATTGGCAAGATTAAAGCAAGATGGTGCATTGATTGAATATATTGAAAATTTTGATAACCTCTTGGCACGTGTGGTTATTTCAAAGGAAATAACACTTAGCTTCTTTCTTTCGGGATTGAAACCTGCATTAGAGAAATCTGTACGCGTCCATAAACCAGCAACAATTCAAGAGGCAATCCGGTTGGCTCGCTTGCAAGACGGGATTCTCCTAGATATCACCAAGAAACTGGGTATGGAAAGGAACACCAATGCTGATTTCTAGACCAGATACTCAAGAACTTGGTATAACACAAATCAAAATCAAAGAAGTCAACCTATTACTAGTTTACAACAAAATCACACATCGACTTCCTCCAATTCAGCACCTACCGTGGAATCCAAGGCAGCCAATACAACACCAATTTCCAGAAAAGAGGTTAGTGAAAGAATTGCTCAGGGTCTATGTCGTTTTTGTGGTGATAAATGGGATAGGAATCATAAACAAAGGTGTAAAGTCTGGGGTAGGTTGAATGCCATTTTTGCTGCGCAAGAACAAATTGAGATTGATAATGATGATGTTGCTGATCAAGATGTAGACACTGAAATAATTGAGCATTGCCTGGAGTTAGCAGATAATACCAATGTGCATATTTCCTTAAATGCATTACAAGGAATTGTTGGGGGAAATACACTACAATTAAAGGGAATTATAAAGAAGCAGGAAGTGCCATTCTTGATGGATACAGGGAGCACTCACAACTTCATTAGTGACAGATGGGTGAAGACATTAGGCCTCAAAACCAGTTTCATAAGGGACTTTCCGGTGATGGTGGCTTCAGATAAGCAATTAGTCATCACTAAGCGCTGTTCTCAGGTTTCATGGAGGTTCAATGCTCACCACTTTGCAGCAGATTTCCTGGTATTACCTAGTAGCAGTTTTGGAATTATCTTGGGCATGCAATGGTTTCAGACATTGGGTGAAATTTGTTGGAACTGTGCTCAATTGACAATGAAATTCCAGCATCAAGGACAACTAGTATGTTTAAATGGTGAACCACAACAAGTAGCAATTTCTCCAACTTCAGGGACATTGAAAACAATCCAGGGCCAGACAATGTTACTGGCTATACAAGGGTCTGCATTCTTTAATCTACCTACACCTGAGAATGAAGCACTATTATCTCAAAGTCAAAATGAGGAACTTCAAAAACTAATGGAACAGTATCACCACCTTTTCAAGGAGCCAACCGAGCTTCCTCCTAAGCGACGATATGACCACAAAATAATCCTCACAAGTAATTCACCTGTTTGTTTGAAGCCTTACAGGTACCCACACAATCAAAAGGAGGAGATCGAGAGACAAGTTAAGGGATTACTCTCCACAGGATTCATTAGGGACAGTGCAAGCAACTATGCATCTCCTTTGGTTTTAGTGAAGAAGAAGGATGGCTCTTGGAGGTGCTGTACGGACTTTAGAAAACTAAATGCCATCACTGTCAAAAACAAGTTTCCTATGCCTTTAATAGAGGATCTCTTGGATGAGCTACATGGTGCAAGCTATTTCACCAAACTTGACTTGAGGAGTGGATATAATCAAGTCAGAATGGCTGAGGAGGACATTTCTAAAACAGCATTTAGAACTCATAGTGGACACTATGAGTGGGTGGTGTTACCTTTTGGCTTAAGCAATGCTCCAACTACTTTTCAGAACTTGATGAATGACATATTCAGAGAATACTTGAGAAAATTCATCCTAGTTTTCTTTGATGACATTCTAGTTTACACAAAGACTTGGGAGGACCATCTACGATGTTTAGAGATCACGTTGGAGATTTTACAGCACAATTGCCTAGCATTGAATTTTAAAAAATGCAGTTTTGGAAAAAGGAAGATTGATTATTTAGGCCATCTTATTTCCTCCAAAGGAGTGGAACCTGATCTTCAGAAAATTACGGCTGTACAGCAATGGACCAGACCTACATCTTTAAAGGAATTACGAGGGTTTCTTGGCCTGTCCGGCTACTATAGAAGATTTATCTATAATTATGGAAAAATAGCTGCACCATTAACAAAATTTCTACAAAAAGACACTAAGTTCAAATGGAATGAGGAAGCTGAGGAATCATTCAACAAGCTCAAACAAGCCTTAACTACAGCACCTGTGTTATCCTTACCCGATTTCAGTCAACCTTTCACATTGGAGACTGATGCCTCCGGTATAGGTATAGGGGCAGTCTTGTTACAAAAAGGACACCCTATAGCTTATATAAGTAAAGCCATGGGACCAAAATATCACAATTGTCAGCCTACGAAAAGGAGTTCTATGCCATTCTGTTTGCAGTAAAGAAATGGCAACATTATTTTTAGACCAACATTTCATCATCAAAACTGACCAAAAAAGCTCTCAAACACCTGTTGGAACAGCCACCGACAACTTTGATGCAGAATTGGGGATTGGAAAAACTTATGGGCTTAGACTTCAGCATTGAATATAAAAAAGGCAAAGAAATATTGTAGCTGATGTCTTGTCAAGGAATAGAAGTAAAGCCTGTTTAGCAGCAATTCTGGTCATACAATCTCAATTACTGCAAGAGGTGAAAGAGTCATGGCAGGCAGAC